ATTACTTATCGTCGCATTGTATATCTTCCATATCCACCAAATAAATCTCCGCCAATTACTAAATTCCTTAATCTTTTCCCGGGATTTAAAGCCCAACCAGCAACAGAAATCAATCCTTGGATTATGGAAGCCCTTATTTGGCACGTAAAATATGTAATTTGTGATGAAAATGATAAACTTAATGAATATATTTGGAATTGATGGTCATTTTTGGTGCAATTTCCGCTAGAAAAACCTAAAACAATTTTGGTTTTAAAATCTATTTTACAACGTTGTGGAAAAAATATTATAATTGATTTTATTGGCGAAAAAGTTTTGGGTTCAGCACTATACTATGCTACATCCGATTTAGGAAAAGTTCTTGGAAAATTCAATAGTGTTATAAAAGGCCGAAAACTTGTCGTTATGAATGAGACAGGGATGGCTAGCGGAGAATGGCATAAATTTAACGATCATCTTAAAGCACTCATATCAGAAAATAAGGTAAGTATAGAACACAAGGGTGTCGATTCTGTGGATCTTAAAGATTATACCGCATTTATGGTTACCAGTAATCATGATACCCCACTAAAAGTAGATATAGGCGATGGGCGTATAGTTTGCCTCGATGCATCTTCACGATGTAGAGGTAATAGAGCATACTTTAAGAATTTAGGAAAGGTTTTTAATCATCCTGATGCACCAGGAGTAGTTATGAGATATCTTTTAAATCGTAATTTATCTAATTGGGATCCAGAAGATATCCCTGTTACTAAAATGAAAACAGAAACAATACGGGATCAATTACCAAACTCCATTCGATTCGTAATTGAGCTTATTTCATCCTGGGTTGAAAATCAGACAGAAAAAACAATCTGTGCAAATCTATATCAAAATTATCTTACTTGGTGCGGTAGTAATGGTGAAAATTCGTTTACTAGTAAAAAATTCGGAAAAACTCTTCCAGTAATTGGTATAGAACGAAAACAAGTACGAATAAATGGAAAAAGAGAATGGATATACATCCTAGACCGATTCAAAATAGTAGCTAAGTTACATGAATCAATTGGCGATATCGAGGAATTTTCAGATTCACCTCAAGCCGAAATATCCACTAACACTCCCACAGATATACCTATATTCGACGCACCCAAAATTGCAACACCAGCTCCACCCATTACTAACATGACCCAAGACCTCTTCGATTCTATAAAAAATGAAAGTTCAGTTGCTTTATCATCCAAGTCTACCGATATATCTCCGTCTCCTGAGATCATGAATGTAGTAGAACCTGTGGACGATAAATCTGAACCTTCTTCTGAAATCATCGAATCAATGAATGATGATCTCGATTTATCAAAGGATAGTGTACCCGAACCGTCTCCTAGCTTACATGTAAATGAATCTGAATCAAATAACGAAGTAATCCCCCAGCAGATATCATATCCACCCGGATATCAAACCAGGGAGCAACGAGAAAAACGTCTAAGACAATGGGCGACCGATCATAATGAAGATCCGGATAAGTTTATGACTATAACTGAGGAAGATATTAATTTATCAAGAACATACCGAGATAGAATGATGGCAGATGCAGATATGATCCAATTCGCAAAAGATAACGATGATGATCCAAATTCATTAATGGATATGACTAGAAGAGAAAGATTAATAAGTGAGGAAATTATGATCCGATTACATGAGGATAAGAATAACCCCCAACCAAGGAGTTATAACGATGATGAATGGATAGAAAAAATATCGATACTTCAAGAAAATGAATACCTATGGTAAATTGTAAATTATCACTAATGTATATTAATATAATAGAAGTAAATTTTATTGATAGAAACTCTGGTAAAGGGGGGATTTTTTCGCCTCTACATACACAATATATAAAAATTCAGATTGAAAAATATTACCGGAGATGGCCAAACTTTGACAGTTATATATCTGATGTCTCTCTGAAATCACTTCCGTTATTATACCGAATTTGCCTTTTGTTTTCATACCACTTATTGGAATAAATCCTCTTGGCATGCTTTGCACAAATCGATCCATCCCTCTTAATATATTGACAGGTTATACGTTCCATAAGATTTTTTATATCTAGACGGTATAAATATATTTTACTTTTAATGTATGTTTCCTAAATATAAAATTGAATTTAAACATTCAAATGAAATTGGTATAAACATATCCTTATTATCACTTAACAAATAATATATAACTACATAAAAATGGACATCTATGTGTCTAAAAGAGTATATAATGCCCGTACTGCTCGTTTTATTATCATTAACGGAAAATCATATAAAAAATTATTACGTGAAGGTTATAAAAACGTTAAAAGTCTTACACAATATATGGTGCCAGGATACAATAAAGATTGGCCGTCTTTAATCCCACCTTTATCAATTATTGCTGGTATAAAAAGAGGATACAGTTCTTCCATTACTGTAAGAAGTGCCGTAAAAGGAGGAATGGATCTATTCACTATTGAAAAAAATGGACAAACCGCTTTACAAAATTTAATCCAGATGAATTATTCTGAAAATGAATTATCTAAAATATTAGAAACATGTTAGAATCTTAAAGAAACTCGGGAATGGCGAGATAATATCCTCATAAAGTTCCTTCATCATCCAAAATTAAGTCCTTCAAAATACAAACCAAATACCCTATATGATGCATTTACCAAATCGAACGTTCTAAGCGCGGAACATTTTCTCACATTGATGCGGGCTCTATATTAAAAATACTAAAATTAAATTGTGTTATCTATAGCATCGGATCCTACCCCAAAGCTATATTTTTTTCGTTATCATATATATTAGGAGAATTTAAATGTCTTTTTTACCGTCTCTTACCAATATAAATTAACGAACAAAATGTAAAAATATCCATTAATTATTATTTCGAATCGAAAGAATATTTTACATAGAGTATAACCTACTTGAGATATTTTAACAATTAAGCATGTCAGCTATTACAACGTTACTCGTTAAAAATCACGATCTAACCACAAAAATGAATGAATCATAACTTAGTAAATATACTCCCGAATTTCTTAAAAATCTTACAGATGATAGAAAGAGGAACCAGGCGCGAAGACGTCTTCGAGATAGATTTGGATTCAATGATAAGCAAATATCTGTATTAATTCCGGCTCAAAAAGGTGGACGACTTAAAGATGTAAATCTCGCAACTATAGATCCACATAACCCAGAAGGAACCATTAGAGAATTAGCTCAACGAATTTTGCGTGATAATCTTGGTGAAAAGGATACAAATGCTGAGTGTGTAAAATTAGTTAAAACCGCAATAAATGAAAATGCAGGATCTTCTAGGTTATCGCGTCTTGGAAGAGAGTTGCGAATTCTTGGTGTATCCTCTGCAATAATTGAATCAACAAAAATTCCCGAGATTACAAGAAAAGCTAATGAAATTCAAAAAGAGCAAAGACAGAAAGCCGAAGATGCTGGAAAGATCGAATATCCAGACCATTTTTCGTTAGAATCTGTTAAAGAAAGATTGGATTCATATGATATTAAAACTTTGCCAGATATACAAGCACTCGCCGATGTAATGATAATGCTTTGTATTCGTCCTGTCGAAATTATAACTTTACGCATTACTGATACAGGAGTAACTGGATATGCGAAAAATCGCGACCAGCAAGATATTCCTCGAATATTTAGATCAATGGAAAAAGATGAAAAACGAGCCAAAGAATTGCTTATTTGGATACAGGATGCCATAAGTTCTGGTAAAATTAAAAGTCCTGGAAAACCTGGAGCTAAAAGTCTAAATAAATTCTTGAAACAATATGGTTTACTTCCTCGATACTTACGTAAAATTGGAGCAGTATATGCAGTCGTCTCACATGACGCTAGAAGCTTAGGGCAAGCTATGACAATCGCCCAACAAGAATTACGGCATAGTCCCCGCAATAATGAATCTCCAGTACGAAATTATATTATAGTTAAATTCCGAAGGAGGGGTGAGCCACCTGAAGAAGCAAGGTTATTCCGAATCTATGATGAAAAATAATTATGCTTTTCCACTTTCACACAATAAATTTATATGTACATTTTTTTTTCAGATTCCGTTTCAGATTCCGTTTCAGACTCCGTTTCAGATTCCGTTTCAGACTCCATTTCAGACGAACTAGAAGTGAACCTACGTCGACACTTTCATTACTTTTCCTACAGTTGCTAATATAACGTTTTCTACGTGGAGAACTACTCGTATTAACAGTTTTAATAATATCTTGCTGGATCTCGGGTTTACTATTTTCAATAATTTGGAAAAACTTATATTAATTTTTTTATTTAGTATATGTCTACATATTCTGGAAATCGTTCTATCGGTATTTTTGGATGAACTTTTATCTATTTTAAAACCCATCTTTTTTGCTTTTTCATAGGAGATAATTGGACATTGTGAGTCCGAATCAACCAGAATACCATTATTATTCCTCGACTTTGATTTAATCTCTTCTGCGATTTTTGTTTCTAATTCGGTTTTAGCTTCCGCTATCGTTTTCAGTTTATTTAGTAATTCTTGTTGAATCGATTTAGTATTACTATTATTTTCAACCATTGGAATTAAAATTATATTATGTATTAGAGATACTAGTACCGTTACTAATATATAGAAAAAAATCCAGATTAAAAATATCATAATAATAAAAAATCAAATGTGTCTTGAAATCTAGAAACCATGGGAAAATTACTATATAAATTAAGTCGTTTCTAGTAGACTTCTTGGATATTAATGTTATCCCGAAAAGATCGTGATTAACTATGCCTCTCTCTTCATTTAATAACCAATTACAAAATTTATTTGAATATTATTTCACAAAAAAAAATTTTTGTTTATTAAAAACGTGACTTTACATATATATTTTCATTTTAAAATTAATATGTCACGCAATATAATTTCAACAAGATCATCCATCACGAAGTGATAAATGTGATAAACAAAACTCCACTATCCTAGAATTAATCCCACAGTACATGCACTAACGATTGGCATAAGCAGAGTTCGCAAGGTGAACTTAGAGAGTCGAACTGCTTCATTAAAGATTCTTCTCCAGAATGGTTCTCGCGATTTGTCTACCGTCATTGATGTTCCTGAAACTAAATGTTGAGAATTATAATAATCATTTAGGATAGAGGTGTCAAATGATGTTCATTTTTACATAAAAAACAAGTTATCAGAAGCCTTAAATTACAGTCAAACCCCTCTGCAATCACAGAATCGATAACATAGTGATTTTTTGAAAAATTGTAATTATGGTTTCTCATTAAGATAGTGGTGATTAGTACTGAGATTATTGACTATATGGGGTCTGACTGCATTTTTAACTTACATTTACAATATTGTTTTAGTATTTCGGCATGCATTTTATCATATTGTTTTTTTGTTAGAAGTTCCTCCTTATAGGCTTCCGTGAGACCACGGAGTTTTTCAGCAAGAGTGACCATTATGGATGTTATATATGTTAAGTCTATATAAATAATTTTTAAATGGATTAAAATCCACGTTTATGTAACTCGTTAATATATATCAGATATATACTAATATACTCATTTATTATTATAAACATACGCGAATTTTAATTTGAAGCAATTTAAAATTTGGTTTTTATTTTTTACTCATAAGTTGTGAATTATATTGTATTTATAGAGTTAAATAACTCATTGTAAAGATTTCTTTATATGGGTTTATTAAGGTTAATCTGTTTCAGTTTTATTCAAAAACTGACCAATAAAAACCTTTGTTTATCAGAATAAATCGAATGTTTCTTCGTATAATAATAATAGTACTTTCTTTTTTAATTTTATTCATTTAAGTAAATTGTTGTATTTGTTAAATGACTTTTGATTTAAATGGTTTATAAAGGTTAATAATCTGTTCAGTTTTATTCCTGTTCCTCAAAAACTGACCAATAGAAACTTTTGTTTATCAGAATAAATCGGATGTTTCTTCTAATGTATAATAGTTATTATTATCAATTAAAAAACTTTCTTTTTTAATTTTTTTCATTTAATATTAATATTTGTTGTTTTGAGAATTTCTGTTCCTGTTCCTGTTCCTGTAATGAATGAATTTGATTGGCCAAAAATTTTGTCGAACTAGAACAGGAACAAGAATAAAATTGAACAGGATTAGGCTCATTTTGTGTATATATAGACTTAATAATATTTTAAAGGAAGAAAGGTTTCGTGTGTCATTTATTAAAAATGGATCTTAAAACGAAATTAGAAGAAATCAAACGTCAACTGGAAAATGGTGAAATCAATATACAAGAACATAAAAAACGCCATGAATCGATAATGAAAAAATGGTTAAACGGGTCAAATGAGACCGAACACTTTAATGGTATATACAGCTTGTTTTATTGTCCCAATATTTATTATACATTTTACTCATCGTTTAAAATGTGATAGTAGTTAATGAACCAGAGGAAACGAGTTTATATGATATCCTTCAGTTAAAAAAAGGTGCAACTGACGCTGAAATTAAAAAAAGTTTCAAGGACCTTGCTCTAAAGCATCATCCGGATAAGAATGGAAACACAAAAACTGAAGAGGTACTACGTCAATTTGTTTTTTTAACTTCGTGTTCGCACATTAACTTTATGTTTTTAATAGTGGAACAAGCTTTTAAAAGCATACGAAATTCTTTCAGATAACGACAAACGTTTTCTCTATGATAATCACGGAACAATAAATAATTGTAGGCTTTAAATTTCCTCGATGCGTCGTTTAATTTTATATCTATTTCTTTATTCATTTAAATTTAATTGATTGTAGCCTTGGGAAATAAGACATCATTTAATCAGTATGTAGGAGGTGACTCTTGGAAAGCTTATATTGGCGACTTAGAAATTGGTCTTTTTTTATTTTCATATGTAGAAGAAGAAAAATCACCTGAACTGACGAATTTAACATCAGCTGAGCAAAAAAAGCGTCGCCACGATATTCGCGTATCCGACATCGTTCAAACCCTACAAAGCAAACTTTCACAATTTTCGAAACAAAATGACAAATTACTTGAAGAAAGTCTTCAGGAAGAAGCCCAAAAACTTTCTATGGAACCCAATGGCAAAAACCTTCTACTTTTGTTAGGCAAAATTTATATTTCCAAGGCGGAAACTTGTTTAAATAAATATTCCAAGCAAATCGTATTAAATAAATTCTGTAATATATTTGACAATCTTGATTTTGCAACGGGTGTAATTTCTAGTTTTGTAGCGGTCAAAACTAAAGGAGGACCTTTAAGAATGAATCGAGAAGAGGTAAAAGTTGTAAGAACAAAACTTTATTATATAAAAAATAATTCAATTAATATAAATTTAAAAACCCTTAGATCTGTGAAGTAGTTTGGCGACTTTCACGGTCAGAAATATCTCTCATTATACGTGAGGTTTGTGATAAACTCTTGGATAGCTACAGTGAAAATAACGAAGATCTTGCCAAATCACTGCACCTCCTGGGTGAAATATGGTCAAAAAAAACTAATAAACAATCCAACATGTGACTTCTTTTTGACCTCTAAATTATTTAATCTTGCATTATTTCATGTACCTAATTAGTTTACATTTCGCCAATTATCATTTTTTTTTTACATGGTTGATTTTGTTCCAGAAATTAATAATAATATGTACAAAACACAACTTTTGTCTAGTTCCAATTCCAATAAAAGCCGATTTATCGGTCAAGCCTAACTCACCTCAAACTTACGTATTATCATTCAATTTCAAATAAAATAATCAAAAGTATCGTGGATTCATGTCCAAATATAATCCATCTAGATTTCAAAAGTAGTGAAAGTTTTAGCGATAAAGCACTAATTATAATAGCTGAATCATATCCGAATTTGAAATATCTTAATTTATGGGATAACAAATTAATAACCGATAAAGGACTTTCCACAATTGCACAATTATGTTATAAATTGGAATATCTAAACATTTCTTTCTGTAAATCTATTACTGATGAATCCTTAATAAAAATTGCAGAATCATGTCAGAATTTGGAAGAATTTTACTTTAGTGAAGCACGTTGGATTACTGATAAATCAATAAGTTGCGTCATAAACCAATGTCCAAAATTACGATGTCTTGATATTGCATTTAGTCGCGGTAAAATTGAAGATACTAGTTTGTTAACACGAAGATCCCTCAGCATGGAATATCTTGATTTTAGTGGTGTTATGGCTTATCTAAATGATGATTTTATTGTAGCTATTATCAGATCTTCTCCGAATTTAAAACATTTCGATATAAGTGGTAATGATATAGGCAATGATCCTATTGAGGCAATAGCTCACACATGTCATAAATTGGAATATCTTGAACTTGACGGGAATGATTTCATTACTAATTCATCAATTTGCAATGTTATTCGCTCTTGTCCTAAACTTCAGCATCTCGCACTTGCTTATTGTAAAATCTCTAACGCAACTATCAGAGAAATCGCCGGTTCATGTCCTGATTTAAAATACCTTGATTTGGAGGGTGTTGAAAATATCAATAAAAAAACTATAAAACAACTTAACCCAAATATTCATATCGATAATTTCAACGAAGAATATTGCGATTGGCCTGATTCTGAGACCGACTCTTCTAATTCTGATTCAGAAGATGAACTCCCCCACTTATAAGAGGATCGATCCAACATGACGATTTAAATCCTCCGGATTCTTTTATTACTGAATTTAATAATTATCTTAGACAAGCCGGCATATCTAGTCTTCCTCATTTTCATAATTCGTGGATTATATATAATGGTGCTTCATAGTAGAGACTAAGTAATTAATTCCGATTTAAATTATTTTTTTCTATATATATCAAAGATATAGTGTATAATATAACCAAAATGTTGTTTGTAAATTGTGCTGTCGAAGAAAAATCTCCTATTGAAACATTAATTGATACAGGCGCTAACGCAGATTTAATTACCCAAAAATTTATTAACGAGTTGGGTTTA